ATTATTAGATTATTGCCTACTGTTTCGAAATTGACACTTTCAATTGAATATGCTGTGAGTTAAGTAACGATTATATTATTTAAATCAACCCTCGCCTTTTACGTTTAATCATTTCATTGATTCAATCAGAAATATGATTTATGAATGTGACTTCGTCACCTGTTATTCAATGCAATAACAAAAAATTTTGTTTTATAAATGCTTATTATTAAGCTCAACTAGAAAATTAATCGAATAAATCATTGGTTATTTGGTTATCTATTGGAGACTTATATATATAATAATACGCATTTCAATCATTATGGAATCAATATTCAATTTTAAAAAATAAGCCATAATTTCTTTTCACAAAGACAATAACGTAAGGAATTAAGAGATAAACTTTAAAGGATTTCTACACTAGAACAGTAATGTACATTGTGTAAGGAATTTGATACATTTCCGAATGTATTTAAAATTTATAACTTTCAAAACCTACATTGGGTAGTTCATTTCGTATTCAAAATTTATTCCTTACATATTTTAAGTAAATTCTTACATATTCCGTACATTTATTTTCTATATGACTTCATTAAAACCATCTAACTTATTCAATTCTATTTCTAAATCTTCTATCACACTCCATTAAAAATTTCATTTCATCATCTAGATTTTGATTTAATTCTTTGTAAAATTTTTATTGTCAGCATCAATGATGGACATAATTGGTTTGCGTTGAATCAGGGTTGGCAAATGTGCGGTCCATTGATAGTCTATTGGTCGAGGACTAGGAAAACTCTATTGTATGTGACCGCCAAATTAAATGACAAACCATATTAATGCGAATCTTAGTTTTTTATGATTATGCGAATCGATTTTCCGAACACATTTTAAAATTATCAATAATGCGAATCAAAATAGCCGAGGACATATAAAATTATCTTTATTGACTAAAAGAAAGTTTTGTGTACTCGATTGACTAAAACGATTATAAATTAAAAATGTTTCATCATCTACTGCAATCAAAACACGAGAAGCTTCTATTGTCTACGAATCGACCTCTTGTGCCATTGCCATCCCGTTCTGATGGTTTGATAGGATAGAAAAAAATCATTATATCTATTTTTGTTGTTGCTGTAATTTGATGCACCCATCTTACAGGGGATAACTTTATAAGATTGATATAGGGATTAGAAAAAATATTTTGATAAGAATTTGACTTTGCCTCCTGCCTTGCATCGTCAACTCATCTTTGATCCGTAAGCTTATTCGAACCAGCTTGTTACCTCCTATCCTCCATTCTAATGTTAAAAGCTTGGCATTGTATCTTTTCTCCTAAATCACCAAATCTTCCCGCGGTTAACACTTCTTCCCGAAGCTGGATGAGCAGTCGTATTCATGTTGGTCTATCAAATTCAATGACTTCTCTTCTGGCCACTCCAGACCCTTATCGCTTGTTTCCCCGATAATCACTCTCTTGGTAAACTAAATTGCCTATTGATGGTGTTTGCGACAATATATCTTCCGTTACCACTATAATAATAAAGATACTAACACTAATGCTGAAATGATCGACATTAGCATGGGGAACTGTAACAAAAAAAAAAATTGCATTTTTTTCTCTAAAAAGCTTGGGTTGCATTTTGAAAAGTTAGTAGAGTGATTGAGTTTCAACAAAAAAGTGCTAAACGTAAGCGTTGCAGCTATGAATTCTATGAGATGTGAAAGCACATTTTGAAAAAAAGTAAAGATGTACCTGCAAATGTTTTTTCTTCATCACCCTACCATTAAAATTAAAAATCAATCATTAAACTATTCTATCAAAAAGAGAACAAGGCAAATCAGAAGTTTACTTGCAAAGTCAATTTGTCAGTGTGGGCTTTTTTTTTCTTTATCAGGATTAACGTCAATTAAAATTTTATGGGCAAAGGCTCATTCTTCTTGGGAGGAAAAACTTTATACTACTTTACTGGATAACGTATATAAAGAAGCGAAGCAAGAGATTGAATATTATAATTTGGTTATTGCGGTTGTATATGATGAAGATGAAGAAGATAATAATGTTATTGTAGTCAGTAAAAATAATGGTGGTAATAATTTTTAATAATAATGAGATGGAAATAGTAGTTAGTAGTAGTAGAAAGGGATTAATAATTTTGACGTTTTTAATAAAAAAAAATAATTCAAATTGCTTTTATTTTATTATTTTGCAATTATCTCTTCTTCTCCATTTATTATCAACAATATGCTTCCCAAAAAACATTGCTGCTGCTCAGTTATATATATTTTTTTTTTTGGAAATTTTAGCCAAATTATAAAATTTTTTTTACCTACATAAGATTCAACATTGGTGCAGAATTGAAATATCCTCATTTTTATAAATCTATCAACCAATAGCAAGTGAAAAAAGGTGATAAAGAAGAACCTATTATAAAATACAATGATCTAAAAATCTCTATTATGATTTCTCATTGTTCTGAAATATGTAAAGATGATGCCATGATAAATGTTTATCAAAAAAATTGTTGAAAAACTTTATTAATATCAATATTATAATAATGATAACAAACTAAACTAAATTGAAATAAATATAATTTCAATCTAATATAATAAATTTTAAAAACCCTAAATCTTGATATTTTTTTAATTGATTTATGACTAATGAAGATTTAGGTACTTTTGAGAATTCTATTTTAAGTGGCTTAAGTCCTTTCCAATTATTCATTAGATTATCTATAACATTGTAATGAAAATATGTGATTTCACCACCATTCAACTGTATAGTATTTAAACTTTTTGGTGATGTT